TTCCAATGCAAATATCACTTTTGGGAATAAGAATTTCTTTTATAATCTTTATTTAAATAAATGTTAAATTATGATATCTTTTGACTTATTATTTGTTACTACAAGTCAAAATGAAAAATAACATAGATTTTATTAAACTATTAAGATTAGTTAATTTTTTTGACAAATAGGGACTTACTATTGAGATTAATTAATTTCTAAACAAATAAAAGCCTTGTCTAGATTAGCTATACTTATAGTATGTAAACGACAACTAATGAGCTTTGTTGTTCGTAAATAGAATTGGATTAGTTGATTGTTCGTGATTTTTATAAGAGTGCTAAATTACTTAAGAATATCTTTCATGCTATAATAACTATTAAATATAGGATATCACCTAGCTATCAAATGTTCCTTGACAATTAAACCAAACAGGACCAAATTGCCATTTCACCTTTTGATTTACATAACATTGCATGCCATTGCCAATCCTCAATCCTTGCTTATTAGTGAGCATATAGATAAATTAATGGAGCAGACAAACGTACAGGAGAAGGCTTCTCTCCTAGTGCTGCTCATCCAATCTGATACATCAAATGCTTTGGATACTTATGTCCATGCTTGCTATCATCGAAACTTTTATTGATTGTTATCTTTTTGTTTGCATCTCCAATGTCAAATACTAAGGAAATTGAATCACCGATTACCAAGAAACTGAGATTCTTATTTCATGCATTGAGCTAATCTACAAAGATGGAGCCAGACAATGAAGGTCAACATAACCTGACAGCACCGCTCGGTTTCTTTCTTTCACACTTGTCTGGTATATGACCCTGCAGGTTGTAACATCAATTTTGAGATATCCACTCAATAGGATGGAAAACTGGTAAAGTTCCATGTTGATCTCAGGATTTTGTTAATGGCAAAAAGAAATTGTACCTCAAGCCTTCAAGCCACATCTCAGTAACCGCGGTTTCGCCAGGGAACACGTGTAAAAGGAATCGACCAAATATACCTTTCACCATAGTTGGATCTCCTTTGCATATGGATTTGATGATGGCCCTAACTGCATACCCTAGAATGCACAACCCATGCAAAATTGGCCTATCGAATCTGTCAACAATGGGGAAAAATGTGACCAATATGAAGCTTAAATAGGGGCATGTGGTCATCCACAAAATGGAAACTAAACCTAATACAGCCATAACCACAACAGAAGCAAATACCTAAAGGAATCATGGAAGTCATTACAGCTCCAAAAACAACTCTCATTCATACATAAAAAATAATGATGCTTAGTATCAAAAGAATGAAAAAGGATGAATTCTCTATTCCTAGTATTGCTCTGTCATTATTCATTCTGACTCGG